CTCCCGCGGGCGTCTGTCGTACCGTTAGCGGCAACGGGAGCCCTGACTGGGAACTTTCTTCGCGTCAGTGCTCTCCCAGCAATGCTATCCCGGTGTGCAAGCAAAGGGAAATGCAGCCACATTCAGAAATTGTAGAATGCGTAAAAACTGTACGGAGTCTGCGGTAGTAGACTTAGCCCTGTGAGTGCTTACAGTGTGTCTTCTTTCTAGGAAACATGATTTCTGAGAGCAGCTCCTTCATGAAGGGTGTGGTGTTAGGAGGAGCCTTCTGCATGTTGGCTACGCTCCTCGGACATATTAAGGTGGGCCACAGCACTAAAGCGCATCACCATGAGCATCATCACATCCAGGCTCCCAACAAAGAAGATATCTTAAACCTTTCAGAAGCTGAACGTATGGAGCTTAGTAAAAGTATCCGCATTTATTGTATCATCCTTGTGAAACCAAAAGATCTGGGGCACTGGGCTGCAGTGAAAGAGACATGGAGCAAGCACTGTGACAGGGCAGAGTTCTACAGCTCTGAAAATGTCAAAGCATTTGATTCTGTAGCCCTCAACACAAATGATATGTGGGTGATGATGAGAAAAGCTTTCAAGATAACACATGAACTCTATAAAGATGAATTCAACTGGTTCTTCCTTGCATATCCAACAACATTTGCTATTATTGAAAATCTCAAGTATTTCCTACTGCGGAAAGACCCCTCGCAGCCTTTTTATATAGGCCATACTGTGAAATCTGGTGACCTTGAGTACGTAGATGGTGGGGGAGGAATTGTCTTAAGCATTGAATCACTAAGACGCCTGTCCCGTGTTCTTGAAGACTCTGACAAGTGTCCGGAGCAGGGAGGTATGATTTGGAAACTTGCTGAGGATAAACAGCTAGCAATCTGCCTGAAGTATACCGGAGTGTTTGCCGAAAACGCGGAAGATTCAGAAGGAAAAGATGTCTTTAACACTAAATCACTCGGTGTTCTCATTAAAGAAGCGATGTCTACATCTACACCTGAGCAGTTAGTGGATGGTTGCTGCTCTGACATGGCCATCACGTTCAGTGGACTGGCCCCAAACCACATGCACGTGATGATGTATGGTGTCTACAGGCTGAGACCCTATGGCCACACATACAACGATGCACTCGTCTTCCTTCCACCTGAAGGCTCAGACAACGACTGATGTCTCTTCAGTGAAGACCCGGACCCATGGAGTCAGCTCTTCTCCTTACATGCATTTGTACTGACAGATTTGATTTTGGTACTGGTGTACACTTTTTTTTGCACTTTGAGATTTGGTAAAGCTCTTACTTTTACATATGGAAGGAGAACTTTTTTCCTAAATCTTTTATACAGAAATGCTTCTGGCTTTTGACAGTGCTGGAATGAAATAAGTTGTTTATGATAAAAGGAAACTAAGTTTATATGGGGGGTTTGTACATGTAAATATTTATTAATGAAAACTCATATGAACTTTACTGTTACAAATATATTTTTGCAGAATTTGGATTATTTCAATTCTTCCAGGCATTTCTAGAATGTCTTTATATCTTTCTAAGATGGCCCAATAAAACTGACTACAGATTCGGTCTCAAACACTAAGTTCAAGCTATTTCCTTTACACTAAGCTACACGATAGCTTGAGCTATGCTGTTTATGCAGCACCTATGGCTTTACGTACACCCTCCAACCCAGCGAGGAATTAGCAGGAAGCAAGCTGACAAAAGCGATCTGTTGGGAAGTTGCAGCAGAGTAATATCTTGTGACCTTTGCTCTGCTGTTTCTAAGCAAAGAGATAACTATATTTGAATACATATTTACACAGGTAGCGTGTTAGCACAAGAGTAATTGTTCATTTAACATTTCACTTCATATATAAGTGTGTTAGAATAAAGGTTCTGTATTATTTTCACTCCTTTTAGTGGTGCTAATAGTGTTTACAAGGAAACAGCTGGGTACCTGTCAATACAAATGCAGATATAAAAACAGGTACTTTTAACACCGAGATGCAGAAAGCAACACATTCTTGTACTTCCAACCTTTACATATTATGCAAAACAGGTTACATGCACAATAAAGCAATATGCAAAACTCCCCAATACTGGTTGGGGGGGTGGTGGAGTGTGGGTTTTTTGTTCATTTGCATTTTCTTTGTGTTTTTGGGATTAGTTTTGGTTTGGGTTTTTTTTTGGGGGGGGGGTTGTTGTTTTTTTTTTTAAATTGAGCTCACTTGAAATCAGTTTTATACAAGTTACCGTGTCACACTCCCTTCCAGTCACAGCAAGTGGAAATAAACAGCACTTCAATATTTACTCTGACCTGACTTCTATGTTTCCAAACTTAAAGAAGGACCTACAACTGGTCCATCTAGGACTACAACAGGCACTGCTGGTACTGCAGTATCCATAAAAGACCTGAGAAGATACCCTGTTATCTCACCTTTCTTTAACAGACCGTTGGTAATAGCTCATCCTGTCCTGAGCTGCAAGTGAAACAGCTGCTTCAGAGCCATTGAGAATATCCGTATCTTTTTTATTTTAAGCATCAGGTTCTTCATTTTTTAAGAGTGGTAAGACAACTGCTCAGATGACCATGCAAGCTATCACAACTCAGCTGTTGCAGAAGGTGCACCTTGTCTCACCTTTTGGACATTCTCCTCCTCCACAGGGCTCAGCTGACATAGCAAGACAAACATATGCATGATAGATAAAAGATAAGCTGCTATTTTTCACAACATTTTGCTAAATTGGTATACAAATTAATGATTTGACTTATATCTTCTTACAGAATAATTTTTTTAAAGGTTAGATCCACAGTTGGGAATATTCCCACAAAGCCAGATAAAGAAAGAAAAAAAATGTATTTCAGTGGTGTTTCTGATATTAGACAGTTCTGACTCCACTGCAGCAACAGCAGTCATAGGGCAAGTCAAGGAAAAAGAATGGAAGTTGACAATTCAAGCCAGAATAAATCTCATTTATCCCTGATTTGGAAGGTATTGTAACACAACGGGGGAAGCAAGATGGAAGGGGAAAAAGCAAGCCACAGAAGCCAAGACTAGCTCGTTTAATGCAAAACAGAACCACTGAAGCACAAACCAATTCCCCACAGCACTAACAAGACATTAGGACATTCATAGCATGTCCTAGCATTTAAGATGCATTAAAATGTCTGTTAGGATTCTGAAGGGAAGGTTCGACCAAACTTTTTTTCTGCAGCCCTACTGTAATAATCACCTTAGTTTTTGTCTTCCTACATTAATAAATAGTTTCAGATTTACCCTGATATTTTCAAAAGTACAATCTTGTAAATAATTTTACAGGAGAAATATAAAATTAGCAGATATCAGGTAACACAGTCTGTCTCTGCCTTAATTTGACTTTGGAATCAGCTGGAGAACACCTCTCCCACTATGTTCTGTGAAGGTCCCAGAGTGGAGAATGCGGAACCGAGACAAGGCACTTGCATGCAAAATTATGCTCTGCCATTATAAAATACAAGTGTTAGAATAAAGACTTGGAATATTAATAAATGCTTCCAAAGACAGAGTTGTGAGTGGTAGATATTAAAGTTTCCTTAGTTTATTACATGATTCCATGGCACAGGCTGTTTTCCATAGGCATAACTTTGGGTATGCAGTCACTGAACAAAGACTTGGATTATCCAGACAAACACGTGGTGCTCTTTATCCCATTCTGTAGATGTATGTACACATGGCAGTGTGCACAAGCTGAGATCTCTTTTGAAGTTCCACCTGAAGAAGCTGCTCCTGGCTACACTGATAACCATGTTTTGCTATCGTGCCTTTGTTAAACAGTGATTTTGTTTCTGCTCCTAAAATAAGGCGGCATACAGGGAGTAGAGCATCAGGCACCAAGTTGGCACACGCTCCATCTGGAGTATGCCCACCATTACCATAAGGAGAGCAATATCAAGCAGTGTTGGCAGGTAGAAATTTGAACATAGGTATATTCTTCAGATATGAACTAGCATAAAAGAATTTCTAGTCCACATACCAGTTTAAGTTCATAAATCCTATACAAATAAATGAGTATCAAAAAAGAGAAAACCCATAAGTAAAATACTTAAGTTAATGCTGTTAATAAATAAAGTTAAAAAACAAATGTCAAAAAAACTGATTTCTCCACATTCAAGAAACAGGTAGACTAACGATGTTAATCAGAAGAAAAAAATTGGAAATGTTTCAGAGGTTTTATAAACCGTATTATATTTCACATACACTTTATATTACTCTTTTAGAAGAGCATAAAAATGTAAACATTTCTTGGCTTTTTCCTCCTTTTTGTTTGAAATAGTCTACTCAGCGTCCGTGCAGGACCTTTCCATCAGATATCTTCAGTCACTGAAGACTTCGGTTTAAGACAAAACAAAAGAACTGTAACAAAAAAGAAATCTAGAAAACTATTGTAGCCTAACAGTACTTTCGCATTCACTTGATTTATTTAGCATAGCCACAGAACAAAATAATTTGTACATTCAGTCACATTAAAAACAAGGAATTACAAAGCAGTCCACATTTAATCTAAGTGCATTCCTTTGGAGTAACACAGTTCCTTTTGTTTCACTTGTATGTCTTCATATGCCAAAGGCCATCATTTAAATAGTGGATGTTTTCAATACCAATCCCTTTGTTGACCTTCTCACTGTAAAGGAAAAAGGTACAGAAGTATTAGGTAGGTTAAATACTAGAGCAGTAGGAAATACAACATTTAAAGTAGAAAATGTAGCATTTGTCAACTGGAAGGGGAGAAACCATCATCCACAAAGTCATCATCTTCAAGAGCAGGTGAACAAGAAACATTTGTTATTACACATACCCACAGTGCTGAACGATGAGACGAGAATATTTGCCTTTCACGTTTTGTCAACAATGTTCCACAATGTTTTTAACTACTCTGTGGGAGGCAGTTCTTCAGACAACACTTCTGCTACTGTTCCGTTTTAGCATTTCTCTATCAAAGTGTCACAGCAGGTGTAGGCGGCTGTCCCCCTCCGAGCACAGGAGGCAGTGTAACACGGCTGGAACGTGATATTTGACAAGTTCCAGTTTCAAGTGTGCCACTGACACAACCAGATGCAGTTCACTGCTAGTTGCAAGGCATCTACCCACCAAAAGAATTATAAATGCAAAATTTATGTGCCAAGGACTTGCAGCGCATTACAGACATACTATCCCTCTGTATCTTTTGAGTCGTCATCTTTTTAAAATGGTTGTTTCATGCATCTGCATTAGATTTGTCTTAGTCTTTTTTCCAGTATATTATTCCATGGAAAAATCTAGTTTTGTCACAATAAACAAGACAAAGCTCATCATTCTAGGCCTAAGAAAAAGTTTCATTCCCCTGGAGAATATATTTACTGTATTTACAGTAAGTGTTCCATTACTTATACAACTTGTCCAAAAGTAATCGAGAAGGAAAATACTACTGTAAATTCCATTAATACATCGTGTATCGCAGTCACATTAAGTAGCTAAAGTACTGTTTCACAGTTTTCTGTTTTAAACAATATCATACAAAAAACATGTTAACGGACTGCATAGACCAGTATCATTCCATTTTGCTCTACACCTCATGTTGTTTCTCGCAAGACCAGGACATTCAGCTGCAAGGCTGCTGGATTTTGAGGTCAGGAGGATAACCTTGGTTTGCAGTGATCAAAGCAGATCACTGCAGATGCAGGACCGGGACACGAGTAACTATTCTGTCCACCTACTCTTGAAGTCTTTCGAAGGCACTATGCAGAACCCTGAGAAATGTAATTCCCCAGCAGCTACAGCATGTCCAAATTCAGGTTGTGGCAGACCCAGTCTCCTGTCACACATTCCCACCTTTCTCCCTTGTGGTACTGTTACGACTCAGTACCACAGAATGGCCCAGTACAGAAAATGATCCTGCTGAGAATTATCCCCACAAGAGAGTGTGATGTTTTCATCAAAATCAGCATCCTCACCCACACAAGTGCTAGATAGGGCCAGAACCAATGCAGCCCAAACTTGCCGGGTGCATCTTACATCCCGTTTCAAGACATCATAGAACTTAAAATTACAAAGTGGTTTAGCTGCTTATAATTTAGCACTACCTGCATGCTAATAACAACTAACATCCATTTTGATTTTCTGACTCTCTTTCTTCTCAAATAGTTTTCAGTTGATGTTTGTCCCCTGAACAGACCTTTACTTTTCCACAAGAAGCTTAACTGAGCTCATAAGCACATCAGGCAGGAAAAGCCGCACGTGCGTACAAGGTAAAGAAAAAGAGAAGGCCACAGAGGAAAGCCCAGCTGGTCAGCCAAGTACCAGCAGGTCTTTAATCTCTGCTGTCCCTGCAGACAAAAATCACTTCAATGTTTACAACTCCTTCAAATCCAAATTACATCTCTTGCCAAGCCCAGACAGTAAGTACTCTGTGCAGCTATTTCTTTGTTCAGCAAGGTCTTTGAGAAAGTACGATCACAAACAAGAAATACTAACATTCAGAGGCAGCACTAATGCTGTGCATCTTAAAATCCATATTCACGTGAGAAAACTATTTTGATTCTATTTGGTAAACACACAAATAGGGAAGATGTTCCCTGCTTCCTCTTCTTTCCCTGAAGATTTATCAAAATGAAATCTTATAAAATTCTATACTTGAATGACATATGCTGCAACAGCGATGCAGTAATCTTTATAGTGGTACTTATATTCCAAACTAACATAGGAATAACAACATGGAACAGGTTATATTCAATGTTTAAAACACTTACATGTCATCAGCTGACATCTTCATTACTCCCACACATAATGCATGTTGTTTTCCCTCTGCCATTATTGCCTACAAATTACTGCTAAGGAAAATAGACTTTTTTAAAAAACTATTTCAGAAAAGTAAAAGCAAAATGAGGAAACTACTTTCCAAAAAGTTCAAAAATCCCATGTTGAACTTTACCCTTTTAGTAATTGTAGGGTACTAGCTCTTAAAGAAAAAAAAACACTTGCTGCACTTAACAATTGAATTAGTGCGTAGAACAAAGCATGTATTTACAAACTGTAAACGGCAATTACAGAAAATTATCTCCCGGCACTACACTCCACTTCTTCCTTTGTGCCCAACACTGAGAGATGATAATTTCGCCCTTCCTGTAACAAAACTGCAACTGTATGTGGGGCCATTTGCAATTCCAAGGCACAGAAGAATTGAAACACAAACCTCAAAAAAAGGCTGAAGTACTGAAATTGGACTTGTCCTTTTCAAAGCTTAGCAACACATCATGCTAACCGATCTTTTCCTGTAGCATCAAACTAACAACAAAAGCAGCACAGCTTGGTATTATTAATGCTGTATTTGCTCTGGGTTCCTTTCTCAGTAATATAATAAGCAGGAGTAAATTAGCGTACTTTCCTCATTTTACATATGCTAATTTCATCAGACACACAGAGCAAGTCCTGACTACAGCAAAGCTGATCTTAAACATCTTCCCAGATTCCCTAGGAACAGGAGCAAATTCTTCTATAACTGAAGGAGATACAAGATTGACTGAAGAGGCAGGGGACAAATTACTCCGTACCTCATCTAATTTTACAGTTCTGCATAGTATCACAAAGGAGCTCCATTTATCAATTAGATTAGTAGAACAGCATTCTACGCAAGAGCACGGCAGGAACAGTTATTTGGTTTGGAACATCGCCATAATTAAAAAAAAGAAAAAATCAATAACAATTTTAACCTTGCCAAATAACATCTGAACCTTTGCAGCTCTTTTCTAGTTATTCCATGAAATATCATTAGAATCCAAAGCAATTCAGATTATGATCAGTTGAGAACAGAAGAACAGAAGTTTAACTCATCTCTCAGCAAGCAGTAATTCACAGTTAAAGAAGGATACAACAACAGTATCAACGGCAGCAGGGTAAAGTTTTGCTCCAGGAGACGTCAGGCCAGGGCACATTATATTAGCTCCACTTAGTACAAATTTAATGGCTCCTTTATCAACCTGTTGATGTGGTAGAATAAATGGGTCTAGGAGGGGAAAGTTACAGCATTACAATTAATATAGTAAGATGACAACACAAGTAACTCATTATCAAGTCAGTTTAGATGGGGCGATTAGATATACAGTGTGCTGCAAAGGTGGGAAGTTCGAGAAACTACTGGTAATCCAGCGCTAGGCCTATGCCTTCTGCATACTCATATAGTCACATACCGAGTAACAATTTTAACACGTTTCCCCAGTGAAAACAATCACACAAGTGCTCTCATACTAAGAGGTCTTAAAACCAAGGGGTCTTAAATGCCTGAAATTACATATATAACCTCTTACATGAAAAAGAAACAGTTTAATGTTAACAGGACAAAGGCAAAGATGGAGAAAATTCATGAAGGCTGTCAGTTTTCCAAGCCATTCTTCAAGTGCATTCACCTTCCTGAAGTGCTTCAGACACTGAGATTTGACTGAATAACATCTTTAGGACAGCTACACTCATCTAAATCAGATTAACACAATCAAGCAGAACAGAGAGAACAGCAAGAACAACAATGCAAGAGATTAAACTGGAAAAAAGCATGCAACATAAATTCTTACAGAAGACAAGCATACATTACATCATTAAACTCACGATTAAAGAATATTTTTTCTAGTAAGAACCTACAAGTATTTGGAAGGAAGCAAAATAGGGTTTAAAGGAAGACTTGAAAGAACAGAGACAGAGACTCACAACAGGAAATTTAGATCTCTATCCTAGGGAAACCTGGCTAAAGAATTTATGTAGACCTTTGCACAATTTAATTCTCATAAATCAAAGTTTAGACTGTTTAACATATAGCATTACAATGCTTATGGGGGAAGCAATTCATATATACAGGCAACTGAAATAGCAAAGCAATACATTACAGTTGAGAAGATATACTACATCTTTTAAGATCTATTCTGGACTATACATTTGCACGTAAGAAGCAAGTTGTTTTTTTTTAATTCGGTTCTACAGAAGTCCTGCAGAATCATTTGCCCACCCCTCTCTCCCCACCACTGCCATCCTCTGGAAACTTACATTTGTGAAGCAATCTTAGCGTTGGGTAAAAAACCCCTTCTCTTTGTCTGAAGAAGAGCAACTCCCCATTCACAGTGAGGATTTCTATATGTTCATGACTGCAAAATTAAAAAAAATTAAATTATTCTGACAGCTGCTTAACCCTTTTATAGTTGAAATGAAACATTTCAGAGTCTAGTCTATCTTGGCATCTAAGAATTAAGACAGTCAATTAGCAAGAAAATTTAAAACTATCTTTTTATGCCTTGTTCTTCAGCACTGGCCTCCCGCACACTTCCTTCCCCTTAAAAAAAAAAAAAAATCTACAAACACCCAGCTGATCACAAGCTGCATTTCTTTAGTTTTTTTAATGCAAGACAAAGAGCAGACAAGAAGGAGACAGCAAAAATAGACTACTCTCTATTTAAAAAAAAAAATCTAGATAATATATGGAAGCCCCTAAATAGTAAAAAAATGCTACTGGAAGCCATCCAAATAAGTTTGAGCTTCCACATCCATAAAGCTGAATGCTTCCCTTAAACAACAGGCTGATCACTGGAGAGTGCGTGAATGTGTTGCACAGTTGCTATTAGGCAGCATTTTTGTTTTCCTGAAGCATCCTATTAGCGCCCCTTCAAGAGCAAGAGAGCACGTGCCAACTTTCTGGTTTGGTCATAATGTAGACTTTTATTTACAATAAACAAGGTACTTCTCAAAAAATACTAGGTTCTTCTACTATACAAAATAAACACATAAAGGAAGCAATCCAAAAGGACTGAAAGCACCCCGGAAGCAAAGGTTAAGAGAAACAAAACTTACCATCTTACTATTTTGACTGGGTCTTTCTTTGGCATAATTTGGTTTAGCCATGGTTCAATAACAGGAAACTGGTCTATCAGCTGATTCTTAATACCTTTAATAACTGAAGTCTTCAGCTGGATGCAGTTTGATACATTCTCCTTTTCATCAAATCTGTCAAGCAAATGAATGTATATCAGAAGCACGCGATTCACTGCCCCAAAGATGCCGTATCTCAGCAGCATTCTTCAGAAGTGCTCATAAATTCTCTGTAACACCTTAGCAGTACCACATCTGTCCAACTTTCAAATCTAGGATTTCATGAGGCTTAAATCTATCCCCTAGGAACATCGGGCTGGGGGAAGGCAAGGGAGCTCCCACCAGTAGGCTGTCTTTGTCTCTAAACTTTGTGTACATCCACAAAACACATACATGTTTTCAGTCTCACAGAGGCACCTTGGCACACAGCGTTATTTCATCCAACTCCCAGAGCAGACCTTGCTGGTAACACTAACACCTACAGCCCCATTCAGATGTATGGGTGAGACTCGTTTCACTCCACCACAGACATGAACTACGCTTTGCACCACTCCGAAGCTCGTACAAGTTAATGACTCAGCTAACTTCTTGCGTTTCTTTATTTTCAAAAGCAAATGCCCAAACAACCTAGGCCAGCGCGCCTCGGGGAAAGCTGCGGCTGCGGGGCGGCGCTGCCCGCGGGTAAGGGCAGGCTCTGCGCCCCAGGAGGCCGAGACGGCCACGGGGGCTGGGGGGCCGGGCGAAGCCGGACGTTCCTGAGCTGTTCTCAACCTCAGTCCCCGAGCACGGCCCGGCCGTGACGGTTTTGCGGACGCAGCGCTGAGCGTGAGCCGGCAGG